TGACACAGGGCCAAGTTCCAGGAGTCCAGATGAAGGGAGGCTGGAGGGGTGTATAAACAGGAGGGCTGGTCAAGCTCATGATGGAGAAACCTGAAGGAAGAGACAGCTGATCTGAGCTTGGGGGAGCTCACAGAGCCTGGGCAGACAGTTAGGGATCTGGCATGGAACCAACCAGGCCCTCTGCATCTGGGTGACAGTGTGTCACTTGGTCTTTTGTGGGGCCCATCGCAGAGGGACCAGGACCTGTTCCTGATACATGAGCTGGCTCGTTGGAACCTATTTCCTGAGATGGGATGTCTTGTTCAGCCTTGATACAGGGGGTTGGAAACTTGGTCCTGCCTCAGTTTGATGTGCCATGCTTTGTGCATTCCCAATGGGAGGCCTAACCCTATGTAAGTGGAGATGGAGGAGGAGTAGATGGGGTGGGGAGAGGGGAAGGAAGAAATGGTGAGAGGGGGTAGGAGGGTAGGAGGGAGGGGAAACCATGATTGGTATGTGAAATAAAAAATGATGAAAAAGAAATATAAAAAAGAAAAAAAATGTAAAATTAAAAGTGTTTGTTATTTGCTTGTTCATGCTTGTATAATAGCAAGTCTCATATAGCTCAGGCTAGCCTTGAACTTGCAATGTAGTGGAGGATGACTTTGAACTCTTGATCCTCCTGCCTCTGTTTCCTATTTCAGGGATTACTGACACCTATCACCATTACCGGGTTTTTTCCATTTTCTCTCAAATTTCTAAGATAGGCATGTCTATATTTGTTAACTGAGGTGTTCTCTATGACCCATTAAGCCTTCTAGATTGCCTGTGGGTGCTCTTAGTGTTTCTGGCCTATCTCTAGGAACGGTGAGAAACGAGCAGGAAATACTTTCAGGGCATATCAGTAATTTGTCATCAGGGTTGGGGACCTTCTAGGTATCTACAAACTCTTGGGGCAGTATCCTAGTTGTTGGGCTAAAGGATTCTTCCTGCCTTAGGCTGTGAACAAAGGACTCTGGGAAAGGGAGTGAGGTATGGCCCTAATCAATACTGCTGCCTGTGGTCTACCGCTCATTTTCGTTATCCTTCACAATAGGGTGAACCAATACATTTTTCACAGTAGCCATTCCCTGCATATGTTTTGGGTTACAATATATTCTACTGATGCATGTTTCCTGCTGTTGGATTTCAGAGAACTTGTTTTCCTTTCTGCCAGTGAAATCCTTCTCCCCCCAACCCTGGTACCATATTGATCTATTTTTAGAAGTATGTTCTCCATCAGTTGTAGGAACTGAAGTGGGAAGATGGCATTGGCATCTGTGCTCGGTCCATTACTGCTTGAATTTGTCTTCTGTGATTTTCCTGTGATTTCTTCTTTCAGCTATGTCTTCATTTATTCACTCAGCAATGCTATTGAGCACCAAATCTGGGCCAAGTTCAGTATCAGTTGTCTTTCAAGAAGGCAGAGCTATTACCCATAAATAAAAGACTGTGAGGCTTTTTTCCTTGGTTTTCATAATAGACTTGCTGCTTCTTATTTGTATCAGTCTTGTTTTTCCTCTCTTGGAGGCTTAGCTTGTGTTAGATACTAATCACCAGATAAGTGGAACCCACTGATCTAGTTATGAGTGAGTCAACATGCTGCTTTGGCCTCGCTCACATAATGCTTGATATAAAAGTGCTAGCCAGGTGTCTTCAGATGCTGCTCTCTGATGACTCCATAGTTGGTCAGATTTTCATTCTCATCAGCGGTGCTAGCTCGTCTCTCAAACCTTTTGCCTCTGAGTTCTTACTGCTTCTGCCTAGTTCTGACTCCTTTCACACTTACTGTAACTAGTCTGGCTAATAACAGTCCCCGATCTTTAGCAGCAGTTCCTAACATTTCTCATAGTGAAATTGATGACCTAATGTCCATTAAGTCTATGAATTTATAATCTCTCTTACTTTACTATAACCCTCATATTTCTTTCATTAAAAACTGTAAAATATATCTCTATATATTTCCTTAATTATAAACTTTCAAAGTCTCTCATTTGCTTAAAGTAAAATGGCCTTAGGAGCAATGTTTTTTATTGATTATTTTATTAAGCAGTTCATATAAGTAGTGGAAATAGTATAATAATAATCATGGGTACAAATTCAATAATTTTTCTGGTAAAATAGAACCATAATCCTAACAGTGACTAGGTAGTAAGGAATGTGAAGTAAATGCTATATTAATGACTTAATTTGGTTAGATGGGGTGAGTAAAAAGAATGAATTGGTACAATCTATAGAATTTTGACTTACAAATAAATAAAATTTTGGACTGTAAAGATATTGATTCACTAAATTGAACTACTATGGTTAGAGTGGTTAAAACAAGATTTTAAAGTTTGTGTATGAAGTAGTAGAAAATAAAATTTAGGTTGATGACCAAGTCTTATATTAGTCTCTTAGTCTCTATGATGGTTAGTTTTAATTGTCAACTTAATACACTCTAGAGCCACTTGGGAAGTCTCAGTAAAGGACTGTCTAGATTAGGTTGATCTGTGGGGATTTGATTACCTTAACTGAGGCAGGAAGACTGCCCACTGTGAGTGGCAGGATTCCCTAGGCAGGGGATACTGAATTATATGAGAGTGGAGGGAGCTGAGAACAAACATATATGCATCCATTATTTTGTTTCTGATTATGGATGTGATATGACCAACTCCCTCAAGCTCCCTCCCACCTCTGTTACTTCCCTGTCATGATGGATTGTAACTTGGAATTGTGAACTAAAATAAATCCTGTCTCCCCTAAGTTGCTGTTGTCAGGGTATCTTTTAAATCATAGAAACAGGAAAGGAAAGCAAGACAGTCTTGAATCTCTCACTTCTGTTTTTGTGGCTCAGTTTAAACACTGTTTCTATGTAAAATCTTTTACTGGCAGGTTTCCTATGTAAGGCTACCAGGATGTTTCATGGCAAGTGGTGATCAATTTGAAACCAAGGTCTTGGGTCCAGAGTATTGCTACAAACATATTTCTATTTTCCCAAGCTCTTTGAGATGTAAGTATCATAAATCAACTGAAGTGTGTAAATGAAGAAAAGAGGATTTGTGGATGTCCCACTTTTGAAGAGCAGAGTTCAGTAAGAGCACTGGTAACAGATGAATTCAGAGTCTCAATGCAAATGAAGTTCTGTCTGTCTCTTAGCTATAACTGGGAGTTTATTTACTTTAAAAAACAATGTGCATGTATCCAATGAAGAGTTAGGAACTGTGTTGAATGTTGTTGGGTGTTGTATAAGATAAAAAACCCTAGAAAATGTTATTAAATTTAATCACACACACACACACACACACACACACACACACACACAGAGAGAGAGAGAGAGAGAGAGAGAGAGAGAGAGAGAGAGAGAGTGAGAAAGATATGTTTATATTGTTTTCCTATCATGTGATAGAGATCAGAACCTAAAATCCTGGGGTTAAGGAAGAAGAGATGGAACAATGGGGATTGTAGTTTCCTTTTTTTTTCCTTCTGCCTTTACCTCTTTTCTCTAAAATGTTATGTTATGTTTATTATAGTGTCGGTGTTTAGGGAAGTGATAGAGTGAAGATGAAATTAATGATGTATAATGTAGAAAGAAGCACATGGGGGCAAAGTTCATTAGGTGATGTACCATCTGGACCTGTTGCAAAGGTCCAAGGTTGACCTTAGCTATATAGAGCAATTGTTTATTTCTTATGGGGAGGCAGAACGGCTGGTAGATTTTACAGTGTAAAAGTATAAAGTGGTATCAAACAAGCTTCAATATGAAAAAGACCAAATTCATAGTGATTTAACAGACTATAAGACTGCATATCCTTTAAGCAAATATTCAGGTTGATAGTCAAGGGCTGATACAATAGCTTCATAATAAAATTTACAGGTTCAATCTATCTTGTTACTGTGCCAAACTCAACATGCAACTTGCCCTTTGTCAGACAAAGGTGACTGCTTTATCTCCTATCAGCATGTACAAATGCTAGCCAGAGGGAAAGGGAGAAGTGAAAGGGAAACCACATTTGTTCACTTTAAAGGGCATGGTGTAGAGATTGTCCCTATTCTGTCCAAATCTCATTCTGGCCTGTAGCTAAGTCTGAGAAGTCTAGTGTTTGGTAAGATGGGAATGCACCCAACAAAAACTGGTATTCTTACCGAATAAATGGTTTTCTGTTTCAGGAGATACAGTTTTAATTCTGCAATTTCTTAATTAGAGGGTGCCTCATGAATGGAATGAAAGAATAGATGAGATTGTAAGGGATTCAGGAGCAAGGTGGAGGAACACAGCATTCAACTAGGAGACTAAGCTAAGTTCAGAACTAAGTACAACGACTGTAGAGGGACTATTTTGATTTGTGAACGAAAGAAGCAAACACCCAATCATCCTGACTACTCTCTGAAGCATCACATTAACAAACAAACAAACAAACAAACAAACAAACAGTGTTTCAGGACATTGAGTATAGTGGTACATTTGGGATAGGGCATGTGTTCTGTTCAGTCAAAGGTCTCTGAAAAGTCTAGGCAGTTGGCCAAAAAACTTTCTTCTTGTGCTGGGAACAGAATGCTCATTTTCTTAATTTTCCAAAGTGTAAAAGAACAGCTTCCAGAAGTGGTTAGCAGATGCTGGAGATGCAAGCATCGTATGCACACACATGAGTGCTCATCTATTAAGCTAAGATTTCCCATTATTTTTTAGCCTAGATAGGCAAAGTGGAGCCTTGGGAACCTTCCTCATTTTTCCTGTCACAAAGAAACAGGTGATTCAGAGGTCACAGGAGTTTGTAATAAATAACCCACATTGATTTCTCTGTTCCAGAATGATTTTGGCTTCCCTCCTCCCAGTGGTCTGACGTTTATCCCAAGAGGCAGTGTTAGGAAATCATTTACAAAGTGGTATAGCCTCTCCTTCTGCTGTAGTATAAATCCAAGGTTGGGCTGGGACTGAGGCAAGGGATCCAGGACTTCTGATCGTTTCAGACAAAACTGTGTCCGCCTAGTAAGGAAATCCAGGTCCAGTAGCATCAAGAGCCATGGAGAAGCTGCTATGGTACTCACTGGTCATGGTCATCTTCTCTCAGACTTTTGCCCAGAAAGGTAGGATCTATTAAAAAGATCTGATCTTGGGAAGAAGGGGGGAGAGCCTAATGTTGTACGTATGGAATACAAGAAACAACAGCAGGTACACAGATGTGCATTTGTGTAACCTGGGAAAAGGCCACACGTCTCTTGAATCCCAAATTCTACTTGTGAATAAGGGATACATCTTTGCTATCTGAGAATCTACTCACTTTCTTGGTGTTCTATCTCACAGACATGTCTAAGACGGCCTTCGTATTTCCTAAAGAGTCAGCCAATTCCTATGTATCCCTGGAAGCACAGTCGAAGACGACATTGAAAGCCTTTACTGTGTGTCTCCATATCTACACGGAACTGAGCACATCCCGCAGCTTCAGTATTTTCTCTTACGCTACCAAGAACAACCCTAATGATATACTCATATTTTGGTCTAAGGATAGAGGGTATACTTTTGGAGTGGGTGGGCCTGAAGTACTATTCAAGGCTTCTGAAATTCCTGAAGCTCCAACACACATCTGTGCCAGCTGGGAGTCTGCTACAGGCATTGTAGAGTTTTGGGTTGATGGGAAACCCAGGGTGCGGAAAATTCTGCAAAAGGGCTACACTGTGGGGACAGATGCAAGCATCATCCTGGGGCAAGAGCAGGATTCATATGGTGGTGGCTTTGATGAAAAACAGTCTTTGGTGGGAGACATTGGAGATGTGAACATGTGGGACATTGTGCTATCTCCAGAACAGATCAACACAGTGTATGTTGGTGGGACACTCAATCCCAGTGTGTTGAAATGGCAGGCGCTGAAGTATAAAGCACAGGGTGATGTGTTTATCAAGCCCCAGCTGTGGCCCTGACCTACTGTTGTGAGCACTGAGATGCCTCCTGGGGTTACATTCTCTCCCTTGTCTCTTGTCAGAGACCCTTTAACCCCAACAGATGTTGTAGATTTTGTAGTTGAATATGGTCTTTCACTTCCCTGCATTGCCTTCCTCAGCACCAGAGCATGGAATTGAAGTGTATGTCTTAGCAGCATGTGTATCATACTAGGAATCTTTATCAAAGAGAATCTGAATTATAATATATATATATATATATGTATGTATGTATGTATGTATGTATGTATGTATGTATGTTCCTCTGTGTAGCCCTGACTCTCCTGGAACTCACTCTGTAGACCAGGCTGGCCTCACAGAGAGCCACCTGCCTCTGCCTCCTGAGTGCTGGGATTAAAAGCCTGAGCCACCACTACCTGACTCTTTTTACTTATATTTTTACTTGAAAGAATTTTAGACAATCTCTCACCCTCACATAGATGAGAAAGCACACAGAAAGAAGAGTGAAATTTTTAATTTTTTTGTTTTTGAAATTTCATATATGAATGCTGTATTTACCTCATTTCTATCTCTCCTCTCCAAATCTTCCCATGTCTCTATCCTCTTATTTATTAGTTGTATATGCATACATATATGTTATATACATATAATATCTATCATCTATGTATCTATGTATGCATGTGTGTATGTATCTATCTAACATATATCTATTTATCCATTCATCCTACTGGGTTCTATTTAGTGTTGCTTGTACGTTGTTGAGGGTTGGCCACTTGGAACTTGGATAACCTACCAGGTGGCACACCCCTGAAGAAAACTGACTCTCCTTTTTCTCAGCAGCCATTGATTGTCTATAGCTCGTCATATAGGGGTGGGGCTTTGTGAAATTTCTTCTGTCCATGTTGCATGTTAACTAGTGTTATCATTATACAGGTCTTGTTTAGGCACCCTATAGGGATGGAGCACTGACTATCCTGGGCTCAGAGTCAGTTCTTTTCTGGAATAAAATCTGTGTCTGAACTTTCCAGGTCCATTAGTCACTAAAGCCACCTTTGGTTTGGATGAATTGGGGCAATTTTGTGACTAACTTCATTATTAACCCTCTGGAATCAATAGTCTGAAGTTCAGGCTGACTGCCACTTCCCTGCAGGATCGTATTCGTGCTATGACACCTTTTGCTGCTGAAATCTTTTGTGATAAGTCCCTTTGAGATGAACAGTCTGCTTTGGAGATAGCTGGTCATTTATGAGGTTCAGGTGTGGGGATCTGACACTTTCACTTTTAGAATTCCAGTTTGAGAACAACAATCTAAAGATCATTGAGATTCATGATTCTGTAGTCAGGTCCAATGATGGAATACGTTTATTTCAGTCTGTTTGGCTACTTAAAAGAAACAGATCCCAGAGGCATTCTTTACCATGGTCTTTCAGAAGTGAGTGAATGATGAAGTTATTCCATAAGGCCTTCCTTATCCAGGGTTTGAAAAGGGGGCTCATTAAATCATTATTTTAGAGAAGGCATATGGGAGACTGGCCAAATATAGAGTTCTAGGATCAGGTCCATGTCCTGTTTTTGTAGCTTTCCAATTATGTGACCTCTATTACTCAGTTTTTTTTTTTAACTCTACAAATTGGGAGAAATAATTTAATCCACTTAAAGGGTCATTGTAAAAGCCAGATATAATTATACAAATAGCAATCTTTTACAAAAGTCACCCTTTATTATTAGTAGTAGGTTTTGTACTATATGCATAAACATTATACACCCTAAAAGTACTGCTGCTTGGGTTTGTCTAGGTTAGCAGCAAGTGGGTTTTTGATTTGCCAAGAATTCAGTTCAGACAATTAGGAAAATGAACAGAGTGTCTTTGAAGAAATTATTTATGAATATCGATTTCCCTAATTGACCTTTGATAACCATTTAGAAGCACAAGAGTTAAGGAAATACATTCTTAGGCAAAAATGTGAGTGCAGATAATTCTCCATTGTCCAATTAGGGCAGATCCATACATCCTGACACTCAGCTAAGTGGGAGAGAGGGTTGATGCTCTTTCCTAGTTAACGAATCTAACCAGGAGATATGTCTTAATTATAGAAGTCAGGCCCAACTCCCCAGGGATGTGGGATGAGCTAATATGTTCTTCAGAATTCAATTATGGGTACCTTGCTACACACAGTCTAGTGGAGAGCCTCTGGCCCTGATGGTTTTATCCAGGAAAATTTTAACAGGTAGAATTTGCATTCAATGTGGATTAAAAAATCTTAATAAATTATTTCTATAGTGCATACATTTAAGCACTTTGCCTTACTGGTGAGTACTTTGATGTAATCTGTTTAGAAAATGTATTCCAGGGTACCTGGTGAATTGTCATCCTATATGAAGTTGTTAGATGTAATCTAATAAAATGATATCTGCTGAGGATGACTTTAGTTTGGGAATGTTGGTGCCATCATTTTCATATTTTTGTAAATGGATAATATCAATCTTCCATGGTGGTCACTTCTGGGTGGTACTGGTGATAATGTGATGAAGGTTCTGAGGGTGCCAATTCTTTAATCACAAAGCAGATTCCTCATAATATTTTAAAATACCCTTTTATTTTTAAAAAATTTAATTTTGAGATTAAATATAATTATCTCATTTCCCTCTTTCCTCCTTCCAACCTTTTCCATGTACCTCCCCTTGCTTGTCTTGAAATGTGTGGACTCTATTTCTTTAATTGTTGTTATACTGTTAAACACACACACACACACACACGCACACACACACACACACACACACACTGTATTCTTAAATATATAAGTTCAACCTTCTAAGTCTGTAAAAAATTACTTGTATGTATGTTCTAAGGGGCTGACCACTTGTTTTGGATAACTGATTGGTGTGCTCTTTCCTGGGGAACACCATTTCCTCCCACTCCACATCCCTGCTCTCAGAATTCCTTAGTTGACTGTAGTTCTTTCTCTAGGGCTGAGGCCCCATGAAACTTCCCCTTCCATGTTGTCAGATCTATTGGTGTTGTTCTTGTTCTTGTTTAGGAAGCAATGATGATGAGCCGTCGTAATGGAAGAGGGGCTGGAAAGATCGTAAGAGCTAGGTGAACAGGTAGTTTTCTGTGAGTTCAGCTCCCAGAAATTTCAGAGAAACTAAAACTACCTTATTCTGATCTGAGATTTTATCATTTACTGGATACTCAATCCTTTAAACACACCTATTTGACCATTGTATAAAGATTCATTTTAAGTACTTATTTTTTATATTTTTATATTTATTCTTCTCTCATACATCACACCCTGACCTTAGTTTCTTCTACTTCCATTCCTCCCACCCTTTCAGTCCTTCAGATTCACCACTCTTCCATTTCTCTTCAGAAAAGAGCAGGCCTCCCAGGGATGTCAACTGAGCACAGCATAATGAGTTACAATAAGACTAGGCACAAACCCTCATATCAAGATTCGTGGAGGCAACCCATTAGGAGGAAAAGAGTCTCAGGAGCAGGTAAAAGATTCAGAGACATTCCCACTCCCACTGTTAGGAGTGCCACAAGAACACCCAGCTACACAACCATAACATATATACAGGAGGGCCTAGGTCAGACCCATGCAGGCTCCCTGACGCTTGGGTCAGTCTCTGTGAGGCTCAGTGAACCTTGCTTAGTTGATTCTGTGGTGGATTGCAGGAACCAGAGTACTTACTTTTTTTTTTTTTTTTTTTTGAGAAGGTCTCACTTAGTAGACTTGGAACTCAATATATATAGATTAGGCTGGTCTCAACCTCATATATCTTCCTGCTTTTGTCTCCTGAGTTTTGGGTTAGAGGCATGTGTCACCATAAACAACTACTTTTTGTTTATATGTAAGGAAACCAAGGTCTGAAGAGGTTAATTAACTTTCTTAGAGGTGGCATTTGAATGGAGACCGTGTAGCCTCTAACCACTTATGCCTTATCACCACACTTATATCAGCAAATAGGGATATGTATGTCTTTTATAGAGTGCCCAGACTTTAGTTGTTTTTATTGATACAGGTATTTTGCATCCTAGGCCTCAATCTCACAGTATAGCCAAGGATGACCTTTAACTTCTGATTCTTTTGTCTTTATCTCCTGACTTCTGGGATTACACATGTGTGGTATCATGCCTTATATGGTGTTGGGAGTCAAACTTAAGACCTTGTGTGAGGCAAGCACTCTACCAATTGAGCTATACCCCCATCATATACATTGTTCTTATTTATTCAGCCTCAATATTAAGAGAATATTAGGCTGGCTATGCTTGTGGTACACTATCAAACTCTTCTCCAACTCCAAACTCGTATGCATGTATAAATGTCTTAGATAATCCCTTACCTAGGAAGCATTCTCCACAGGCATGGGATCAGAAGACTCCTCCACGCCAGTAGATTTCAACACTAGATGCTAATTAGAGTTACGCAGAGAACTTTTAAAAACCTGAGAGGAGAGGAAAGCACGTGCGACTAAGAAGATTGAGTCAGGGTAGGAATAGAAGACAGGAGAGAGAGAGAGAGAGAGAGAGAGAGAGAGAGAGAGAGAGAGAGAAAGAGACAGAGACACACACACAGAGACACACACAGAGAGAGAACATAAAAGAGGGAGCCATTATTGGTTTGAAGAGAAAACTGAACCTAAAGAAAGGTATAGAGACCTACAAGACTGTTGCCAACTAACAATTTGAGCAACCGTGGAAAGGCTACCATAAATGCACTTACCGGATAGTGAGATCAACAACTAACTTATCCACCCTCATGGAGCCCTCATCTAATACCTATTGAAAACAAAAGGAAACACTCATACCTAAACACTGAGTTGAACTAGAATCCAGATGCAGAGGGAGAGGACAAGACCAGGTTGCGGAAACACATAGAGATAGCTGACCTGAACAAGGAGGAGCTAACAGGCCCCCAGACTGATAGCTGGGAATCCAGCATGGGACTGACTCAGGTCCCCCTGAATATGGGTCTCAGCCAGAAGGACTGAGCAGTCTAAGGGACCTCAGACAGTGGAACCAGGATGTATCCCTGGTGCACAAAAGGATCTTGAGAACACATTCCCCATGGAGGGATACTGCCTTAACCTAGAGACAGGAGAGAAGTCCTAGTCCCTACTTCAAATGACATGACAGATCTACATGACCCCACCTGGATGACATTACCCTACATGTGGAATTGGGGTGGGGGGATGGGAGGAGAGGGTGGTCAGGGTGCATGTGAGGGGGCAGAGAGGGTAAAAGGGAGGGAGGGAGAAAGGGAAAAGGAACTGGGATCAACATGTAAAATAATAAATTAAATAAAAAAAGAATTACATTTAAAAAACAAGAAAACCTAGCAGCCACGGCTTCACCCTCGATCATGACGTTGGAGTCTCTGGTGATGAGACCCAGGGATGAGTTCAAATG